GAGGCAGGAGGAGCCAGGCTGCCTTCAGGGACTCCAAGCTGAGGTCTTGGAGAGGCCCAATCTTCAGCAGAGCACTGTGAACTGCAAACTGCACTCTTGAGCCTAAAAAGACTTTGGGCCCCTGGTCACATCTACTCACACCATGCCACTTAGAAATCTGTTGCAGATTGCTACAGAAGCTTCTCTTATTCCTGTGTAGTAAGAAATCTGCATGTGGCTTTATCCTACTTCTTGAGGTCTCTTATGTGGCCATGTAGTGGGTTGCCCGTTAGCCATGCCACACTCATTGGGGGTTGCCACGGTAGCCATTCCATCACTAGAGACCAGACACTGCTTGCTTGCCCTCCCTGCAAATGCTCTGCTGTGCACCTCTTAGAGCCATGGTGCATATCCACGAAGCCCTCCCCTACTGTCTTCTCTGAGCCAAGGCCACTGTGGTCCAGGGGCCACTCCTTCCACAGAGCCCAGCCATGATGAGCCACAGATCTGAGAAGAACCATTAAGAACTGGCCTTGTTCTGAAAGGGGTCACATGATAGCCAGAGAGGCAGGAGCAAGTAGAAACAGAAGGCAAAAAGAAAGGCAAAAGGGGCTGGGGGACAGAGATCAGGAGAAGAAGGGAGAAGTTAAAAAAAAAAAATAGAGAAAAAGAACAAAAAGAAAAGGAAGATAAGCCAAGAAGGAAAGCCAGGCAAGAAACTGAAGAGGAAAAGAAAGACAGGAGGACCCAGGGAGAGGAAGAAGAAAAGGAAGAGGAATGGGAGGGAAAGGGCAGCAGGGGGTGCAGGAGGCAACTGAACTGTGAGCCCAGGGAGTGGGGCTGTGGCTTGCCCCTCCCTACACGCTGCCCCAGGGTGGGCCCTCCGTGGTGTAGAGTGGGGAGCCCACCGTGGGCATGCACTGGGACCCAGCAAGAGACAGCGCAAAAGCCTGGAGCCTGTCCCACGGGCCCAGGCCCGCACCTTCCTTTCTGCATTAGCCTCTGGCCTCCTCTGGGGCAGCCCAATTGGGTTAAGAGGCAAGAAGATGTTTTCTATGCAGTGTGTGCATTAGAGAATTAGCTCCTTAGGTAACAAGATTAGAGGGAGCCGGGCAGGCCACAGCCTCAGATGGAGATATATTGCCTGTGTGTCTCTCTGCCGAGAGACAATCAAGTTTCCCCTGAAGAAATTTCCTATTAATGGATTTGATGGCACAACAGACAGGAGGGAGTTGGAGCTGTGGCCAGTGGCGGGGTGTAAATTGCCTCCGATGAAACCATGGAGTCACTTTTG